TCTCTCTCTCTCTGTCACTCACCTAGCGACGTGGCGCCCCCTGACGGCTGGACACAGGTCAGTGACCTCTGCTCCCACAGCTGACCGCTCGGACACCGCCGGATGACCGCCGTGACGTCACCGAGGTCAGACAGGAAGCACTGGAGGTAACTCCCGGCGTCTGTAGCCAGGGGGAGATAACCGAAGCCTTTCTTCGCTGCTGAGTCCACGCACAGTCCGGCTGAGGGGGGGGGGGGTGCACAGAGGAATTAAAAAAAAGTTTCTTTAAAAGTTTTACGGCATTTGTAACTCACTTATGTCATATAAGGAGTTTTTATAAACGTTTTCTAACGCCATAGTTGCACAAATCTAACGTCCAAACAGGTCTGGGTGAGAATAATGTTTTAGTATTAATGTGCACGTATTGTTACGTATAAAAGGTTTGTGAATAAATGAATGATAATTATTTTATTTTGTCTGTACTGAGTTCACAACTCGACGTCCTCTGAAGTTACTACAGTTTCAGTAAGAGTTTTACGGCCTTTTTAACACAGTTAGGTCATATAAGTGCCGAAGATTAATTAGAAGCACTACAAAAGAATAAACAAGAGGGAAAAAAAGAGGAGAGGGAGAGATGAGGATGACAGATGTTTGATGAGAAAGAAGGAGCAAACCACACCAGATCACCCGCCAACCACCCACCCGGGGAGACAGAGGACATGACACATAAATAGTTTTAGTTTAATAAAGTTTTCAGTAGGAGTTTTAAGGAGAATGTACCGGTGTGTGTAATGTAGAGGTTAAGTGATTCGCTGTCGCACGGAGGAGAGCCCACTTCGTTTTAGTTCTAGTCAGGTTTTACGGCGCTAGCAACTACATAAGGTCATATAAGCGCCAAGGTGGATGTCAACAGAGAAGTCCAAACAGGGAATCAGACTTACTCTGCTCACCTCTCTAGCCTCAACAGCACAAAGTCTGCTTCGACTATCAAGACACCCCGGAAATAGCGGGTCACAAGAGAGTGACAAACATACAAAAGAAGTAGAGGAAAATGACGATAGTAAGGATGCGGAAAGAAAAAGCAGCAGCAACGTTGTTCCGGCACTGTATGAGTGTGACATTGATAAATCCCCCCTCCTCCTCCCCTCCTCTCTCACCTCCCCCTCCCCCTCTCTCACCTCCCACCTATCCAGGTCCATATAAGGAAAATCAGGCCACCTGCCCTCCCCCTCTCCCTCCCTCCCCTCCTCCTCCTCCCTCCCTCCTCCCTCCCCCTCTCACCTCCCACGTCACATCTATCCAGGTCCATATAAGGGCAATCAGGCGCCCAGACACACCCCCTCTGCGGGAAGTAGGCGTGGTAAGGGGGACAGCTCCTGGCTATGGCCACGCCCCCGTCACACTCCCAGTGGAGGCCACATCCACCGGGCATCTTGTAGGTCGTGCCGAGAACCTTGCCGTCACACATGTCTGGGGGAAACAACAACCACATCGTCATCGTCATCATCATCATCATCATCATCATCATCATCATCATCATCATCATCATCATC